AGGAGAAAACCCTGCAAGAGCACAGTTAGAGAATGTGCTTCGCTAAAAACTGCCCAGCAAGAGCTGCCTGTGGAGGGTGGTGGTCATGGTCACCCCTGCTCTGAGAGGGACTGGGGCCTCTCTCACCAGCAGCTCTGGATGAACCGAGGAAATTCAAGCAAAAACTGTTAAACAGTCCGGTAAATCACCCAGAAACTGTTTCTGAATTTCAGGCCTAGCATAACAATGAAACTGCATTTATAGATTCACACACACAAACATTCCAGTGTGAGTTACCTGCAATTTATAACTCCCTGGAAAGGATGAGAGTCTTTGTAACAAATTGGCCACTGAAGAGAAGAACAGTGGTTTAGCCACACCTCACATTTCAGAGAGCTGCACTTACCCTGAGAGCAGGTGCAGATGGGTTTCTGTTAAGACTTGGTGCAAACCAGATTTTCATCAGCAAGTAAGGGCTGGGCTCTTCAAAGACCCCAAATCCACTAACTGAGAGTTTTAGTGAAATGGCTGAAAAGCCCTGGAGCTTTTTCATACCATGTCAACAACTGATACTCATTAAACAAATGCTGTGACAGACACCATAATTCACTGTTCCATACCTAGAAGCAAAATGACATTAAGTCAACTATTTAAAGCTGTGCAGAGTCATCTCTCTGTGGATGTCAATAAAACAAATGCTTCCTGCCAATAATTAACTGTATGAAACATCCCACTCTGTTTCAAATCACTACCTACATCCAGCTCAGGTCCATATTCCCATTCTAAGCAAGCAAGATTTTAACTTCATACACTTCTTCTAGTTTGGGGAAAAATCCAGTACAATGGCTTGAAAATAGCAAGGTCAGGATGTTTGAGGATGCCACTTGAGCTAATACAACACTTCGAGAGAACATTTCAAGTGCCCATCTCTCACCAGGTAGGCAGGTAGTTTACTTCTAATTTTAATTTTAAGTTTTTTAAAAGTTTTAACTGAGTTAAGGGTTGGGTTTTGTTTGGTTGGTTGTCTCCAGTACCGGCTCCCTAGAACTTGGTCCTACACCAAAAAATGTAATTATCTAAGTCTTCTGGACACATTTCAGATACTCTGCAGATCTATCCAAGGGATGGTTTCACAGGGCTTCTATTAAACAACTCCAGGATCAGTGCCAAGAGCACTTGGTGATTTATACTTTAAGGTAAATGTTCCTTTTCACTAGCTGAACTGGACTTTTCCTACCTCTTCTTTCACTGCACTCAATTTCCTAGTACAACACGACATGTAAATATTTATGTGTGATGTTTGTGTAGGATGTAAACATCAAATACATATTCACATCCAAAACTGAGGATGGATAGCAGTCAGCAGCATTTGAAGGGAAATACTTCCTCTGAAGAGGGGTGATGCTGTGACCATTGCACAGCAACAGCAGGTTGCATTCTTCCCCAACCAGTGTTCACTTAGGTGTGTTTCAGATTAAGGAACAACCCAACCTTAATTTATATTCTCACAGTTGCAATTTGGAGCCCTCCAGAAAATTCACAGTATTCATTTTTATCACCTTGGAACCATCAGAGCCAGATCTCTCAGGCCACCACTGCTGCTAACGAAACACACGTCAAAAATAAACACGTACCAAATCTACCTGGAATTTTACTGTATTGCTTACCAAGCATGCAACAACATGCTCACGTTTTAATTTATAATGCAATAAAGCTTTCAAACACGAAGCCAAATTATTTAAGAACACTTCTGTTATCCTTCTTGGAATTCATTCATTTCTGATGAAGGGAAGATTAAATATAGGCTGGAAATATATTCATAACATAAATGTTCACAGAAGCTGCCAGACATTTTCACATCATTAAATGCTAACTGAAACGAGTCCCATCTCCCAGAGCCATGGAACACACACTGTCTGTACCAGCAGTGCCACCTCCGTTCCAGGCTGGCTCCTGGCACAGGAGGGAGTGAGCTCACTGCGCCCCAGCCAGGTGATGGTGACAGCTGAAATTCAGCTCCACTCTCCAGCAACATCTGAAGAGCCCTTGTCAACACCAAGAGCCAAAACTCAAGCACTTGGGCAGATGGATTGTTCTGAGGCTGTGGGGAAACCCCTCAATCTAAACCAACCTCTAAAATAAGTTTCTACCAGACACAAACTGCTTCCCCAGCTTTAGTAACCACCCATCCCACACAGGAGCACAAGTGAGGAGACCATCTTAAGCCAATAAGACAAAACCAGAACTCAGATCCAAACTGCAAAACGAAGTTTAAATCAGCTCTGCTGCTACAGCCCAAACCCTGAATGTGGAATCCATTCAGCCCTGCCTGTCCTCACAAAGTTTAACAAACGTATAACTTTGAATCTTAAAGTTTTCTACAAATCTTTTTGTACATATGTGATTGGAAACACCACCACTTAGCACTTATAAATATCTTTTAATTAGAACACTTCCAAGCGCTCAAGAAGTATTGAGCAAACTCACAAAAATACTTCTCAAATACTGCTGTAATTTCAGAAATGTTTGAGAAAGGCAGATCAAAGTACAAGAGCAAGCCCATGTCAGATGGACTCAAAATCCACAAAACCTGCTGTAACCAACCCTGCTCATGCAGCTTCTCCCTACAGCAGTGCTGTTGGCCATTAAAGACTCAAGTTATGTCTCAAATCCAGGGAAAAGAAATGGAGGAAAATAGAGATATGTTCCCCAATTTCAAAACATCAGAACAACAGCTTGAAGTATTTACATTTCCCATAATCAGAAGGAAAAGGAAATGATGCTGAGAATTGTGCAGCCCAGCCAATCTAAAGATTCATGTGATTCAAATCCAAAAGGAACTTCAAAGCCACCTCATAAAACTCTACCCAAAATGTGCAGGCAGCCAGATGTTGGCATTGCAGGAAGAGCTTTCACAGCATCTGGATCCTGCAAGCAACTGTCAAAGGGGAGCAGAAATTCTTCTCCATGTAAAAATATTTCTCTACTTACAAAAATAGCTATGCTAGAAATACAGTTTGTGTTTTTTCTGCTCCAAAATAACTCGCTCCAAGTAAGACTGTATTATCAATAATGCTACTAAATAAAAATCAGCTCCACTCCACATTCCTGAGTATCTGGAACCAATGGCACAAGTTTTCCAGAAATTAATGCAGCTCTTTAGTTCATATCCCCACTTCTGTATCCCTGTATGTAGCACATCTCCATCTCCCTTCCCACAGGGGCACAGCTGTCCCTCAAGAACAAGATGCATTCACCAGTACCTTGCAGATCAAGGCCACGGGGTAAAAGAAAGAAGATCTGTTCTTTATAATGTCTGCAGAGCTACTTTTATTACTTATTTTGATGACAGACAGGGTTAATGAAGTTCTTGCAGAGAACTCTCCCTTTCCTGGGCTAAATGCCCAAATTCTTTCAGGATTCACAAGACTTGTCTATTTAAATTGGGTCCAATTTTTTTTTCCCTACAGAAAGGCCTGCACAGAATGTTCTGAAGAGAAGCTGGGAATTAACCTTTCAAGAAAATTATAACTAAATGTGCAAGCTCTGTAAAAGAGACAAATCACATCTCACACTGTATTCTGCCCTCTGTAACAATTTTCTATTGCTCTAATAAGCTTCAGTGTTGAAGCATAAACTCAGTAGTATCAGATTATTAAAACCCATGAGCTTACTCATGGAAACAAGAGTTCTGCCCACCCTGCATTTCCTTCCCAACCTCCCCAGTGCTGACACCTTATTAATACCTGTGAATAACACACTACTACTCATCAAAAGAAATTTTTCAAGTCCAGCAAAATCCAGGCGCAACTATGCCTGACCAGGGAAGCTGGAAGCCATGTGGCAGAACAAGTGCAAAAGCAGAACAGTCCCTATTCCTGCATTAGTGATGAAGCAGAAGAGCTAAAATAAGACATTACTTCAAAGTGCAAACCAGGAGGACTAAAAGTAATCCCTGTAAGTCAGTCACAGAATAAGTTATTGCATACCTTAATATACAAAGAACTATGTGCAAACACAGGTAGAGAACCATCCCCGACACTGTTTACTCTTGGATGGTAAAGTTCTTACACCTGACAATGTTATAAATTGAGTAATTGACCCACAAGGAAGTAAAGAGCTCAACAGAGTTAAAAATTACCCTATAAATACCATAAAGATTAACAGGTTTGTAATACCCACCCAAGAAGCGCTTACTCTAAGTAGAATGATTATGAACACACAGCAAGAATATTTACTCCATGGCCCTGAGTTCAGTATATACAGACTCCACAAAAGGCAGCACTGCTTCTTAGTACAGTGACAGCTGAGAGTCACTCCTTAGGTTTCCCAGTTGATTAAAGGGTGGCACACAGACACTCAGTTGTGACTTACTTGCTTCCTTAAAATACAGTAATGGATTTTTAAAACATTTTAAATGTTTCTTGGGGGTTTTTGCTACAGTTTAATATTTTTGAGACTCATTTTTTACAGCTCTGACAGAAGAGCTAATGAAGCACCAGCAGCAAAAAGAATGAAGCAGAATCTCCATGAAAGAGGAAGAAATTTTTGTGTTTATGTTTGATATCTACGTACCCTGAGACCCTCCTCTTGGGGAGAAGAAACCTTAAAATACCTACAAGCTTTCCTCCGTCTCCTCACTGCAATGACAGAGATTTGCCCCAAGAACCAGAGTCCACCACAAACCCTCCAAGAGAGGCTTCACACTCATTCACATTCCTATGCAGGAAAAAAAAATGTTCCAACCAGGAGGAAAGCCACGTCCCTTCAGGATGGCAGCAACAAGTGTCCACAAGGTTAAGAACAGGACAAGACACTTCAACTGAAATTCCTGAAAGGATTGTATTGAATGTACTTTGAAGCTGCCATCTATCCTGCAGGTCGGCATTCCCTAATTATTGCACCATCGACAGCAATTTTCCTCTCCAGCTCCACAGTTTAAAAATCACCAAGTTAAGAAAAAAGTTACTCTCCCAAGTAAAAGGGGACAGTTGGCTCTAAGAGGAAAACTTGGAACTTACGCTATCCTGGACCTCTTGAGGCAGGAGACAGCGGCTTGTGGGATGCGAGCACCACCGAGCAGGGGTGGAACAGCTCGGGCTGTGCCAGCCCCAGCACCCCCAACTACCCAGCAGGGGCTTCCCTGGCAGCAGAGACTTCACCCCATGCACACCAGGAGTTTTTATCAGCCCGGTGAACACTGCCCACCTCACAAGTGGGCTTCCCAAAGACCCAACGACAAAAGGAACTGGAGAACAGGATCTGTCACTGAGCTCTGCAAAATGAAAGACTTGCAAATCCTCCCCAGGGTGTGGAGCAACACCTGCTCTGTCAGCAGGCTGAGCTGGGACGGGGTCACAGCCCTTATCAGCGCGGTTTTTGGTCTCTGCAATACCACCCACATGGTGAGGAGATCGTGATTCATATGGAGACACTGTGTGGAGGAGCAGGATGGCAACAGCCTCCCCCAAAGGGACAGTACAACCAGTCCTGGAGAGTCCTTGGGCTGAAAGGTGGGAGGATGCACTGAACCCAGATACTGCAGCCTCCCCTGGAAGGTCCCTCAGGTCTGCTGGCAGTGCTGCCCTGGCAGCTGGGGACACTGACAGCCACTGGTTTGGGAAAGAACTGTGCAGTGCAAAATGTTAGTGCCCTGCTCAGAGGGGAATCTCTGCCCTTTTCTCCAGCACTGCCACACTCAGGTTGATCATCCTTGGTTCCTCCAGTCTGGTTTGGGAGAGGTTTGAGCTCAAACACCCCCACACATACTCCTGCCACCAGCAACAGCGCATCAGGAGTGGTCCCTGCCCACCAAGAGGGCTCACTTCCAAAAAGGGGCTCTGGAACAGCAGTAGCAGCATCTCCACACTTGGGAAATCAACATTTCAGCATCATTTCCAACTGAAGTTACACGAACAATCCATCTATCCCCTGACCTCAGAAAAAAGCCTGTTACACCTTGGACTGAGATAAGCCCACGCAGAGGGGCAGCCACATAAAGCCTCGGGAGCTGAGGCGAGCAGGGACCACTGCACCACCTGACAGGGAAAGCTCAACACTTCACAGAGAGAACTGCTTCAGACTACAGCCCAAACCAGTTGGTTTGATAAAATAACAAAATAAATTGCCTTCCTAAATCAAATGCATTGATCTGTCCTGACTGGTGCCCAAGGTCTGTCCAAGGGCAGGGGATGGGCTGGCATCTTTGCTTTGCTACTTTGATTCATCATGTGAAGCACAATTCAAAGGTTGGAGTCCAGAACTGGAGACCAAAGTCACTCAAAACAAATAAGCACAAAAACTTTAAGAAGTGCCTTAGAACTGTAAAATGCCTGTAAATAATCCGGAGGGGTTATAACAAGAAAGACAGAAAGGAAATCAACATAAAGGAGACAGCTGGACGCCAGCAACAGCAACAACTTTGTCATTTAAGAAGAATGATCTTGCCACCTTCTGCACTTTGTGATCTGACATGTCATAACTATTTTAATAAGTTTATAATTGCCATGGTGAACTAGCTCATAGAACAATAAACTAGCACATTCAATTTATAATACCAAACTTCATGCAGTTCTGTGCAAAACCTCAATTTCTGCCATCTTCAGATCTCAGCAGAAAACACTCAACCTTAAACCTACTCTTTTCCAAACTTGGTTACGTCTGGACTCTACTAAAAATGTGGATTTGCTCATAGTTTCTAAACTATCTGATTTTCTTGGGTGAAACACAGTACAAGCACAGGACAGACAATACCACCTGATCTTAACACAAAACACAGCGGACTACAGAAGCCATTAAACTACCTGCAAGGCCTTTTTTTAAAGATGCAATAAATAATACATCTGACTGCTCAACAAGCATCTGTGAGGTTTCAAGAATGCTTTGGAGTACAAAATTCCCAGGGTCGCATTCACTTACAGCACTTGGTTTCAAATAGATACGAGTCTGCTGTCGGTTCACTTAAATGTGTAACAGGAAACTCAAATTTGACTAAAAGGTTGTATTACATTACTACGGGGTTTATATGGAAACCTTTTTAGAAGGAAGAAGCAAAGGGTTGTTTTTCTCTCCCATCTGCGACAGACAGCTGTTCACTGCCTGGAATCTCTGATAGCAGACACTTAAAGTAGCACCAAGCTGAAGTAAATAATTTAGAAATGTAATTTCTTTAATTGCATTGACACTGTAAAATTATTTGCAATTTATGGGATCATGCCATGATATAAGCCATGTCACAAGACTTAACACTGGAAGTTACATATACTGTTTTAATAGAATGGAAAATACAGCTTTTTGCTGAAATATTTTAAAATGTTAAAAAACAATCCAAGAGACTTCTCATGTCTGGACAGCAATGGAGCTTACAGTGACTCCAGATGTTTAAATACTTAGCACAGGTTAGAACTTGAAATGATCTTTGTTCAATTCAAGGTGCATATAAAAAATATGCCAAGATAGAAAAACAGTTATCTACCTGTAAAAAGATCTGACAGCTTCAAAGGCTTATGCATTTGAACCACTATTTAAAAAAAAACTCCTTGTGCTTTTCTGGTTTTAAGCAAAACTTCACTTCCAGGCTCTAGAACTGTCACTTGGTCACACACTCAGAACCTCAGTTCCCCCCATCCCACGTTTCAGCCAACTCAAGCCAGCAGCTCCTAGCCTGGCTTTAGAAGCACACACCTCCTCACCACCGCCAAAACCTGTGAGAAATAATATTTGAAGTATTTTATGCTGTTTAGTTTTCTATATAATACAGACGCACTGCAGCAATTCCAAAAAGCACTATGACTTTTAAGTCTAGATTTTGTATGCAAATGTTTTGGCTTCTGGGTTTTTTTTCTTCAAAAAGAAAAATACTGACTGGGCCAACATCACCTCTCAGTTTGAACACTTTGAACTCTTCTTTCACCTCCTGGATGCTACATTTTCCTCCATTTAACTTTAGAGACACAGCTCAGCAGTGAAACACAGAATTCACAGGTGGAGAGCCAGCCTGTTCCCAGAGCACACATCCCAGTCCCTGAGAGCAGGCTTGGACCCCTCAGTTCCACCACGGGAAAAGGCAAGGACACAGCTCAGGAAAGCACCACTTGATCACAAATCACAGAGCAAAGCATTCAACTCCTTTCCTTAATCAAACTCCTTCTGGCTCCTCGGTTTTACAGCAATTCTGTGAGCTGAGCCGCCACAGGATGGGGAACCCTCCAGCCCGGTGGCACCAGCTGTGTGGGGTGAGCCCAGGCACTCAGGAGTGCCTGGTGCTGACACACCGACCCTTCCCCACTGCTCCCACCAGCTTTAGATAAACTGCTCTTATCTCCCAGAGCTCCCTGAGCTGCCAGCCGAAAGCAGCAGGGCCCTTGCTGAGTACTGGCGTGTGCTTGTGCTGAGAGCTTTTCAAAGGGTGAGCACAATAAGCACGGCTTAACAGAGATTGGTAACAGTAAGAACTATTTTCAAGGCCTCTGCCTTTAACAGGCCAGCATTCACTTTGCCCATTTTAGACAACCTTTAACTGCCACACGATTTTGTACTGGGAAAGGCCACTCTGTCCAGTCCATGGGGTATGGCACAGGCACAGAGCCTCCTCTGCCACAGTGCCTGTCCCACAAGCAGGAGCAGAGCAGGTCACTGTTCTCTCTTGCTGCAGTTTCAGCATCTTCAGTGACAAGTGGTATCAAGGCCATCATAAACTATATTTTAACAGCATGACTATGTAGTTTTTGCCTTCAATATTACAAGATTTTTTTCCTGCACCTTGTGTTTATACTGGCTACAACTACACATATCACATAATTTCCTACAAACAACCCAGTCAAGCACCTGGGGAGGTGTACATTGGATTAGTCACCATCTGCCTATAAAAGGTAAAACAGACTGGTCCAGTGAGTTTCCAAGAGAAATGCAGGAGTGTGTGTCATGGGCAGAAGGGCCATTTGCGACTTCCCAAACCATAATTCTGTGCTCAAGCCACACAAAGCATCACGGCCACTCTCTGTCTATACAAGTGCTGAGCTGTAGTAAAACTGTGCAAGTTGCAATTAGAAACAGGTTCGTTCAGTGGTGAAGGTAAGTCCTGCTTCTAAAATGAGGTTCCATGTACTTACTGCTCTCATTTGCTGAAGATCACCATGAACAACCTCTTTTGCAACAAGAACCTCTAAGAAAAGCAAGTTAGAATGACAAAAACCAAAGCACAAGTTGGGTTATTAAATCCATTTTCCCTAAGGACCCATCTAAGCTTTCATTTAGGACAAAGCAAATGTCCTGTGAGCCCCAGATTTCCACTTTCATCATTTCATTTTTGAAATCTTCCTGCAAGTACTTCCTCTGCTACTTCAGCCACAGTCCATTTTCTTGCTTTAAATTCAGACTGAATACATTTGATTTCTCCCACCTGCCCCAGTTGTTGGCTGCAGCCACAGGGGTTGGTCTGTTCTGCCAGGCTGGTTGCTGCTAAACATTTTTCATAGCCTTGAGGTCAAACATATTTCACACCACATAAAGGAGTAAAAGATGCTAAAACACATCCACTAATTAATCCTTTACACATCTTTACACAGATAGCTTCAGGAAGGGGGTTTGTTGGCAATCACCCCCATTTTAGAGCTAAGAGAGCAGAGGCAGAGCAGGAGAAAAACCCACATGGGCATTTCTGGCCCCATTCAAACAAAAACACTCATTTTATTCCGAGTAAACAGCTCATTCAACACACAAAAATACTTTTTCAAGCCATTGCAAGAGCCATTCAGACCAACAGGTAGGTGTGAATAAAGCCCCAAGACACAAAGCCTCAGAATCTCTCAGTATTTCCTCCAGTACAGCCTCAATAACTGCAAGAAATTAGAAAAAGCCAGCGTATGCTCACTATTTTCAGTGTATATTTCAGCGTTATAAAACTTTTTAGTGACATAAAACTTTTCAGGCAGGATCACAGAGGTCAATACTGCAAGAAAATCTGTTTCCCAATGTGGGCTTGGGGTTCAAGTTATTCATCTGGTTTTCTCTTTATAAAATGAATAGCGAAGAATCTGAAAAA